AAAATATTCTTTTTATTAATTTCAACTATACACAAATTCCAATTGCCTTAAAACTTTCAAAATTAAGCAATTTTGATTTATCTTTGTAAGTTCTAATCCTAGCCAATGAACTTCAACAAGCTGTAATTTTTAATCTGATCGTCTACTTGGTGAAAACTTTTGTACATAAATGCCACTATAAATCTTCTATATGCTTAGAAGAATTCAATCCAATCCAACTCTCAGATTGTAAAAAAATGCCCAAAAAATTGTACTAATATCATTCATCTACCAAACCAAAAGTTGATGCACATATTCCAATAGTGATTTTTCATTCTTCAACTATTAATTTGAGCTCAAAATTGATGTGTAGCTTGATTTTTAAGTTTTCTAATACCATGCCAAATTTCATCTTGTTCCAATTAGCAAATCTTTAGATATCTTAGAAATCCTATCCAATTCGAAATTGCCAACTTTTTATATCTTTTTATATGAAAACAAGATATCTTTCAACCACACTATTAGATAAATACATATTTTACATACACTTAGCACACCCAATCAATCAAATACTATAAAATTTTAAACTATAGTTGTGACACTAATTGTACAAACTAATCAAGAGTGCTAATCATAATTATATTGCATAAATCCAAAGTCACCAATACAAACTCTAATTTTGAACAATAATTACAAAGTCTTTTCAAATCCTATGAAAATAAGACTTATACCTTTAAAAGAAGCTTAAAGTTTGCTCTCCAATCTCAGTTGTTGATTTCTAAATTTTTCCATGCTTTACCTTAGGTAGACGTTTTAGTAGTTAGAAGTCTGATTTTGACCATGTTCTAAAAATGGTCGACCCTTGGATATCAATCCAACCTATCCTAGAGATTTTTTAGTCTAATCCTACCTTCAACTTAATCTTAGTATCAATTATACTAATTATTTACCTCTTCTACCTTATTTTTATCAATTTATGGCCTTTCCAAGGCAGTAAAAGAATTTCTATAGCCTAGAAGGTAAAATTATTAACCAACCTTTAATCTACTAGCTATTAAGAGAATAAAATAAATAAAAGCTATGTTTAAATGGCTTGAATTATTATTGAACCAAGGTGATTAGATATTAATTAAAATTTTATTTTTTATTATATTTTTACCATATAGTTGTGTTATAACATGATACCATGTACCTCAACTACCATGGAATACTATGTGATTTATCTACTCTCTGCAATCTCCACCAAAATATGGTTGCTAAATGTAAAAACAAATTTGAATTAAGTAAAATTCACTCTATGCTGATTGGTAAAAAGCTATCCATCTTTTTTGTAGACAAAGGCAATGCAAACAATAATATGAAGCTTTATGAAAATGAAGCTAGTATAAAAATGGATTAAATGTCTCTTTATAGGAAATTATATAAATTAGATTAAATGATTCAAATAAAAACTTAAACCTTGTTATGAAATGTAAAAATTAGATGAAAGAGACATGACATTATTTCTTAAAGTTGAGTGTATATGTGTAACAAAAAGAATTTTTGTGATTCAACAAGCCATTCTTATTCAAATACTAAAATTATTTGATATGATAGATTATCAACATATTTTTACTTCCATAGTTGAAAGATTGAAGCTACAAATAGATTTGAAAATGTTATTTTGAGATCCAAAATTATATCAATCATTTATTAGAAAATTAATCCAACTTCAATACATACAATTTGATATATCCTATGCCACATGAATCTGCAACAAATTTATGATAAGACCTCAAATCCGTCACATTCAAGCTATTAAATGATTTTTTAAATATTTATTAGGCATCTGATATTTTAGAATTCTTTACAAATAAAATACCTATTTTAACATCTCAAGTAATATAGATGTTTATTAGGCAAGAAAACTTAAAGATAGAAAATCAACAATAGATTTTATTTTTAATCTTCGCTAGGCATCTATAATCTAGATGTCAAAAAAACAATAAATAGTTGTTTTTAGCTCTATTGAAGCTAAATACATGGCTCTTTTTATAAAAGTATGAAAAGCAGCTTGGCTTTAAAAAATAACAAATGATTTTGGTCTTGACATAAATTAGCCTATTATCATTTACTATGATAATGAAGCTAGTATGAAAATGACAATGAATTCACATATAAACCAATGTACAAAACATATTATTACTTATTATCATTTTATTTGTGAAATGATAGTAATCCAACTTTAATTTGTTCTATCCATAGAATAAAATATAGATTTCTTTATTAAGTTTTTAAAAAATTCTCTATTTCAAAAATTTAGACAAAAACTTTAATTATGTAACAATCATAATGTTGCTACTTCAAAACTCTTACACTCAAATTAACTACCTATTTAGCTTGATTTGGATGTCAACAAAAAATAATCTTTATTCATCAATTATCTTCATTACAAATAGCTCACAATTGTTCCATATAGCCTCTTTGATTACAAATCCATTATTCTTGTTTCAACATGAAGCTCTTCTACAAACAACACACCTTCTTTAAAATACCTTATAGCTGATACAACTCATCACAACAAGATAGATCATCAATTACTCAAGGAATAATTACTTCAACTAGTCACTCTTTCAAAATGGAATATAAATTTTGAGCTAGGTTCTTAATCTCTTCTAGAACATCTCTCAAAACATCTTCTTTTGTGACAAAATTGTTCACCTCTTTTTCAATTTTTAATTCTAAACTTTGTCTTTAAATTTTTCTAGCAATCTCAATTTTATAATTATATACCTACTAGATCTTAGAATCTATATTTTGAGTAAGCACACTAGAAATTGTGTATATGTTTTGTATAATCTCAATCACAAGAATTAGAACTATTGAAAAAACTAAAGTATAAACATGAGCTTTGTTCCTTGTTTTCTTCTACCAACACTTAGGACAAGGCGACACTTTTTCTCTTTTGTAATATCAAAACAAGAAGGTAATTTACATGGTAATCTAGCATCCATGCTCCTCTAGCATTATCATAATCACAATTAGCTACTCAACTAGTAATAATAAGGACATAAGTACAACTAAAAATTAGTATATCTCCATAACGTAGTCTATTATTGACATTAAACTAATTAATATTTCAATAGAGTTTTTTTTATTTTATTTAGTCTTCCATGTCAATAGAGTCTTCCATACTTTTCTCTATATTCTACAATTCTAGAAGAAAGGAGCATACTAGTATAAATCTTCATAGCAATGAACGAAAAGTATATATTCATTCACTGCTATCATTAGTTATCTTAAATTCTATTGTATATAACTATAGATCTGTTCTAGGTTAGTATATTGTTGAACATATTATTGATTTTATTCTTCTCAAAATACATGCATTGCAAATTGACTCAAATCAACTTCAAATTCTTCTTTGTTTGTTTGTTTGTTTTCTTTTTGTTTTTTTTTTGTTTTGTTTTGTTTTGTTTTATTTTTTTTCTATATGTAAATTGATATTCTAGAAACTATTTATTTAAAACTTTTACAATACTTATTTTCTTAGAATTATTTTTAATCCATTAAGGTTTTGTATATACTAGATGCTTGTAAAACTCTTTCCTTTTCCAAAATATTCTCCTTGAATTGCTAATACTAACTTAATTTAGTTTTTTCTCTCTTCTAATGCTTCTATTGTCCTTTCTTCTAACCACTTATACAAGATTATATTTATACAATAATAATAAATTTTCTATGCTAACTTAATTTTACATTTTTTTAACCACTAAAATTTATATTATTCCACTGATAAACTAATTTAACTCTTAGATATGCTACGATTCTATATAATATTATCAAAAAACTATTTTTTTTTATAAGACCACTTGTGATACTATAGAACATTGCAGAATATGTCTTTTATTTTCCAAAGGCCATAGGCTCATATCCAGTTCTAGGCAACAAGAAAGTAATAATAAAATCCAATAACAAATGACCTGTAAGCAATTGGGCTTAGTCAATTTTGACATTTTGTTGATCATCATTTTTCTGAAGTAGCTTCAAGTCCACAGTTCACCAGTTTTATCAAACATTTTCACAATTCTGCTGTTTTGTTTTCGATTGAAGCATCTCCCTAGCAGTGACTCCTGCTAAACCAACGAAGACGACACCGCAATCTACTAGTCTTCGAAGGAGTGTGTGTGTGCATGATGCATTTGACAAGTCGAGCTCAAAGTTGACAGTCCCAAGCTTTGGTTCGAAAAAGTGTTTCCAGGTGCTTTGTACACTGAATACTAGAATAGACTCGTCCTCTATGTTTGAAGGTCTAGATTTTGAGGCTGATGTAGAGCATCGGTGTAATTCTTCATAGAAAAGGGAGGTAACGTGAGTATTGATGTGGCATGCTGTCTCCACAGCTGCAGCTTTAGTAACTCGTACTATTGTAAATGAGAATGAAGAGTATTCGGAAGTAGACGTTTCACGTGAAGCCAGCGACTTGGGCTACTTCGCTTAGCCTGTCACCTACTTCGTTCTCCCCATCACATGACTGACTCCCACGTTTGTTGCAATAATAAATGATTCTTTATATCCTTCCTTTCTCTCCACTTTTTAACTTTTTTGAACCCAATTTTTGGTCAGAAGCTGACGGTGTTCATAACAGAATGCTCTAAGAATCGATCATATCTTCGGAAAACGCTATTTCGATCGTCGTTAATCTGTGTCCAGGAACATGCCATTAAATCTACTGGAGGTTGAGCTACAAATTACTTACCTTGTGTCAGTTCCATGCATGTTAACGTTATCTGTGCTGTGATGGTTCGAAGTCTTACTCACGCATTACATTTTAGTCTTCTTTACATCCCCGAATTTATCTGTGAAGTTGAGACTAGTATTTAGTGAGACGGTCACCAGCTAAGGCAGAAAGATTATCTACTCTGCAGCTTTTTCCCTACACGTAATCAATTCACTATTGCTCCTCTCCTTCGGACAAGAAGCTGCAGGTTGCCAGTCGAATCTTCAGTTTTTGTACTCTAGCGGTGGAGGAAGGATAATCACCTTCAGCAAACGGAACTCTTCGCAAGATCATCAACACCCACAATCCGCAAATGCTACCCTCTCTCGATAAACAGCTGCATGCAGATTGCCTCCTCTCACTCACTAGAACCGCGCGCATTGCGAGCTCGTCTGTTGGATCGTGGGAGAAGTTGAGCTGAGAAGGGAGGAGGTTGCATTGTATTGGCTCCATGGCAGACAGGGGGGACGACGTAGCAGTAGGAGCATCGAGACATGAGCGCAACCCGCTCGGCACAAGTGCTCAGACGCGAGAGAAAGACTACATAGAACCAGCCAGTAGTCCCTTCATTGATCCAGTGGAGCTGGGGCGGTGGTCCTTCTGGAGAGCTGGGATAGCGGAATTCTTCGCCAGTTTCTTGTTCCTCTACATCACCGTTCAAACCGTCATGGGCCATAATCGCGGCGATGCCTGCGCGGGGGTCGGCATTCAAGGAATTGCGTGGGCCTTCGGCGGCATGATATTCACCCTCGTCTACTGCACCGCTGGAATTTCAGGTAAAGAATGCGCTGCTCATTTCACAAGTATTGCAGAATGATGATGTTTATGTGATCTTGGTTTCCAGATCTTCGTAGATTTTTATGTGAGGGTGGTCTGATGATGAGCTTGCCCGGGGTTTGATGATGATGGCTTAAGGTGGACACATAAACCCAGCTGTGACATTCGGCCTCTTCTTGGCAAGAAAGGTGACATTCCCACGTACAGTATTGTACATTGTGTGTCAATGCTTGGGTGCTATTTGTGGAGCGGGAGCAGTGAAAGGCTTCCAGCCTGATTTTTACCAGAGCGTTGGCGGCGGTGCCAACACTGTGGCGCATGGGTACACTAAGGGAGACGGTCTAGGAGCAGAGATTGTGGGCACATTCGTCCTAGTTTACACCGTATTTTCTGCCACAGATGCCAAACGAAACGCCCGCGATTCTCACGTTCCTGTGAGTACCCACTTCATTCTTGTCCATGGCCTTTAAGCTCAAGGTTCAACTAGTGCTGCATTGGTTTCTTTGCTTTCTTGCAGTTTTACTCCCAAGCTTGAAAGCCTGCACTCAACCTTAAATAGAAGCGTAGTATCTCAACGTTCTGAACGGTCGAAGAGCTCATCGTTCTTTTGAGTGGAAGACTGTGGCTAGCTAAGTATCGTAACAATATCTTACAGCAAGGCTTTGAATGACTGAGAAACATAATCTCTGACCACCGTCTGTTGTTTCGTGCAGTTGTTGGCACCTCTTCCCATCGGATTTGCAGTGTTCCTGGTGCACTTGGCCACCATTCCCATCACTGGTACAAGCATCAACCCAGCTCGCAGTCTCGGCGCTGCAGTGATTTGGAACAGAGATCAGGCTTGGAACGATCATGTAAGCCTCCACCTCCTTTGTCCCATCTATCCAAACTATGTCCCAATGCACCTAATTCTTGCTTTCAACTGAAATGCACCACGAACACAGTTTCTTCGAGTTTTGTCGCTGCTGTCTTGCTGTTCAACAGCCGAAGCAAATTCATTTTTTATTGTTCTTCTGGTTTTTTGTTGTGACAGTGGATCTTCTGGGTTGGTCCGATTTTGGGAGCCACTTTGGCGGCCATGTATCATACTTTGGTGATCCGTGCCATTCCCTTCTCTGCAAACCGAGCCTGAAGGATTAAAAGTATCAACATTCTATTATTTGGCTTTATATCAACATTTGGAGATGGAATGCCACCAAATTGCCGTTTTTGTCTAATATAAGCTGGCTTTTGCAAAGCTGCAAAAAAGAGCTGAATTCATTCGCTTTTACACTTGACACCATGGGCATGCAATTTGTAGTTAAAATGTTCTCTTGTTGTTGTACTTGTGGGTGTTGGATAAGGAAGGTGTCATTTTGAAAATCCTCTGAGAAAATCAATTTGAGTTAATAAGAAAATAACTATTGAATTAGAAATTGATGTTCTTGATGGAAAGCGATTTGGTTTTATAGAAGAATTTCATGAGTTGCCACTTTTAAGGTTAGAATGAAACTAGAAGCAAACTTGTGAGGTTTTGTGAACCTATATTAATATTCTCTTCTAATAAGTTATATTCTCTGGTAAATTTAATATCGACATTTTATTATTAGTGTATATGTATTTTCTTTTGAAATTTTACTGTGTTTTTCTTGCATAATACTCACTGTTATGAATGTTACATATTCAATTCTGAAAAAATCTTATCATTTGAAAAAGACTATATGCAATCACAAAAAGAAGTTATAGCAATTGATGAATTTAAAGAAATCCATTTGCAGCTAATTGTTTAGATAATTTGGATAACTTCACATAAATTAAAATATAAAAATAGAATATTTTTTGGTTTAAAAAAATTCAAGTAATAATTGTTAGACTTTTCAATTGTAATTTTTTTCCTTATGAATTATCAATAATATTACAATTGAAAAGTTTTCAATTGTTTCTGACCTATCATTAAAAAAAACTTGTTAATTTTGTATCAACTTAGACTGAAAAATTATATTTATTTATATAATTTTAATATGCAGAATTTGTGGACTTAATTTAATATTTTTATATTAAATATAAGAATTAATATCTGAAATTTTGATAAAAATTTGATAACATTTAGTGAATTATCTTTTAAATAAAAAAATCTAAAATAATATGATAAAACGTGCTATTTATGCAAAAATACTTAAATTAATTTTTTTTACATTTTACTTAAATTAATTTAAGATCTACGTTTTAATGATATTATTTAAATTAATTATTAAGATCGATTTAATAATTACTTTTAAAATTAGAAATAGACATAAAATAAAAAGATAGAAGAAAATATAAGAAATTAAAGAATACAACTCTTTTTTGCAAATTGGAATGTGAGGTAAAATATAAAATGCATAAATAAAATATTTTTTATAAAAATATTGTATTAATAGTTTTTTAAATATAAAATTATTTATTTTTGATTTAAAATAAATCAAATAAATTTTATTTCATAAAAATGTGTATTTATTTAAAATAAATTTAAAATAAATTTTATTACAATTACAACAATCTAAATTTTTAAGTTTTTAAAGTATTTATATCTTTCTATTAATTTTTTTAAAACTCTCATAATAGAAAAAAAAATCAATATCAATAGATTCAACTAATTTCTGAATTACTAGATATTTACTAGAATATTTCAATGTTAAATATAAAATTATTTTTTAAAAAAATATAAATTTATTTTTTGTAATATTAATATTATTCAAATAATATATTCCTTATTTATTTGAATAATACATGGTATATGATTATTTTTTTAGTTTTGGTAAATAAATGTTTTTATTAATATATTTCAATAAGATGTACTTTGAAGTTATTGGCACAATAATTAAAAATTAAGATAGATATGATATGAAGACCATTGATATTTAATTTTAAAAATATATATTTCTATAATTTCAATAAGAATTATTAGTTATATATATATATATATATATATATATATATATATATACATTGTTAATTATAAGAAGATAAATAATTTAGAATTTTAATATAAGATCAAATTATTTTTATTTAGAAATTTTAAAGAAATAATTCTTAAAATCATTATACATAGGAAAAGTTTTGATTAATCAAAAATTAATAGCTTGATTTTTTAATGCATAAATTATATTAAAATATTGAAAAAAATATTTTTTTTTCCTTAATTAATTATTTGATTATTTATTTTTACAATAGGTTATTTAATTCATATTTAATGCATGAACATGTACATTCAATCAACAACCACGCCTACAATTACTTGGTACTAACAGATTCATTCTAATAAGTTAATTCAACTTCAAGCCATTAATACATAATTAAAACATTACATCTCAACTACAAAATTGTAATATTATAATCAAGACTTATATATCTTCTTGACAATTTTCATGTCAAAATTGTTCTTAGTGTGACCACATCTAAGATTTTAAAAAATATGCTTCATCTTATAAATAGTAAAAGTTGAAACAATTTATACAGTTGTTCAATGATTGCAACAAAGAAAGTTTAAGTGTTGACTTTAAAAATTCTATAAAAATCTTCTAATATGACATATTATAATAGCAAAGACAAGACTAAAAGACCTAAACTTATAAAAAATTAAAAAAATATTAATATTTTTTAATTTTTATATTTATGCATATTATCATAAGAAGTTTTTTTAAAGCCTTTTTTTAGAATCATTAAAACATTTTCTATAAAAATTCTTGTAATTTTCTATAATATTAGTCAAAATTCTATAAATTCATTGTACGTTGTACTATATATATATATACTCTTAAAGATTAATAAAAAGCATAAATATTTTTTAAGTAAGAATTACTGAAGTTCTTTTTTAATCAAAAGTAATTAAATCAAACCTATGATTAATCGTTTAGAATTTTATTTCTAATGCATACATCACAAGATTCAATAAATTCTTTATAATTTCCTAAATTTTTGATTTGTTAATATATATATATATATATATATATATATGTATGTATGTGTGTGTGTGTGTGTGTGTTTTTAAATTAGAGAATTTTTCAATATAATATTATGTTAGAATCAAAGTTAAATTTACTAACTCTTGAGATGAAGTAAATTCTTATTTAAATTTAAAAACATCATTTATACAACCACATCAGTTCTTTAAAAATATTTTGTTAATATTTTGGGACCATATTTTGGCACCATAGGATTTTATTTTATTTCATTGTTTTGTTTTGTTTTGTAGGGGACTTTGAAAGCTAGCATCAATACTGTATTTGATTTGAATAATAAATATTTATTTAAATTTAACAGCGTTTCCTTTAAATGTTATTACAATTTACAAAAAAAGTTATATGATTTTTAAAATTTTTTTAGAACAATACAATATCAAACTAACACAATTTTATTCTACTTAGTTGTTCATTCAAAATCAATATGCTCGTAATATATTATAAATAATTTCAATTTATATATTTTGGTATTGTATGTTGAAATAAACATACAATATCCTTCTTTAAGTAAACACTTATCACCAAACAGCTATATAAATATATATATATATATATATATATATATATATTTATTTTCATATCAAAAAAATATTTATAAAAAATATATAGGCGAACCTTGCTATTGTTGCTGTATCATAAAATCATCAAATAATTAAAAACTGAGATGAAATTTCTTTCATTTTTTTTTTTTTTTTTTTTTTTTCTTTAAATTTTCAAATTTTATTATCAATTTTATACTTCATTTATTGAAATTAGTATTAATGAAAAATTATCCAAGAATATCTTTTCCTTAGATATCCCTTATTTTTATATTATGTTCTTATTAATTTTATTAATAGAATTGTAATTTTGACAATGTTTTTGATTAAGATTCATGTTCAAATTTATTAAATCTATAAAAAAATTATTTATGTTTTGTTGATGAATTCTCTTCCACTATAATATTATATTTTATTTATTTAATTGATATATATTTTTAAATTGGTGCAACGTAATGAAAAATCTAATAAATAATAGGTATCAGAGATGTTTTTTCTAAGGTGACATATGATCCTTGTTCTTATAGTTTTTATAATATTAGACATATAAAGCTCTTAGAAACTTCTTTGTTCTTGTAATATTACAATACGTTATTTATAATGAAATTAAAAAAATAGAATATTTCTAAAATATCAATTTGTATTTTATGATAAGTTACAAGTATTTTTTTACTCTTGAAAACATAATATTATATTAAAAACTAATTATATCTTATAAGAACTATTAAATATTATTATTATTATTGAAATCATTTTTATAAAATTTAAAAACTTCTTAAATCAATTTTTGTAAAGTACTTTTCTTTTTTAAATATCTGTGATAATCTAAATTTCTTAGGCTACTATGCATGATCTTTTATAATCAACACACATATTCACCTATTCATTAATAAATAAAATAAATGCTTATGCAAATAACTTCAATTGCCAAGTAAATAATTTTTTGACATTTTTATTCGTAATTGCTATAAATTTTATATAAAAATTTTAAATTCTATTAATAAAATTGAGATATGCTATATTAAAATATGATTTATTTCTAATAAATTTTAAAAATAAATTATTTTTTATTTTAGAAATAGTTTAATTAAATTTTTAATATTTTATATAATTTTATTTTTTATATGGATTCTTTATTAAAAAAATCTACAATTACAATATAATTTAAGGGATTTGAATTTCATTAATAAACATTCAAACAACTTTTAAATTAGAATAAATAATTTATAATTAAAATTTACATAAATTCAGATTCTAATATCTCAATTTGCTTCAATAAGCTTGAATAAAGAATAGGACAAGCACAAATATATAAGACAAAACATTCAAAATTTTATTTGAACTTTCTAAATTCTAATGTATTTGATAAGAAATGTCTATTTGTATAACATCTATTTAAAAGTAGGAATATAGAACTTTTTATTTTAATAATTTTTTATAAAATAAATGAGACCTTATGAAAATCTAGAAAATATAAGATTTAATGGAAATATTTCTATAAAAATGTATTTTAGTTTTGATAAAAAATTATATTCCGATATTAAAATTAATTGTTGTAATGCATGCCTTCAAATTATTTTTAGATAATATTTTATAGCCAAAAATCCTAATTTCCTTAAATATATCAATTATGTTAAGTTTTTGGTAAAAATAGAATATTTTTTAATTTTATTTATGGAATTATTTATTTGCTTTTGATTTTTTTTTAAAAAAGGAAAAAAGGTTAAATTTTGACTTTGGTATTTTTATTTTTTATTTCTTCTATTTTTTAAAATTTATTTTTTTTATAGGCGATTTTAGATTTTAATATAAAAAAATTATTTAAAATAATTTATGTATTTAAACACAATCATGTTCATAATAATATTAATTTTTTTCCTAATAATTTAATTTTTTTTAAATATTCTTTTAATATTTACTAATATTTAGATTTATTTTATGTATTATTTCTAATATCAATTTGATCTATAATTATTGGCATAAACTACTAGCTAATGTGATAATAACTTTTTAAAACCAATAAAGTAACTAATATTTATTTATTTACTCCTATGCACCTAAGTTTTAATATCTCTGTTAATAATCTTGTATATTTTTTTATAATTTTATATTGTTGCATATTAAGAAGGAGATGCACAATGTTTACATCTAAAAAAATGAACACAATTGTTTTTTTAATTAACATGATCTTCTTTTTGTACATTTTACATCTACTCCTATATAATATTTAAGTTTTAAAGAATGTTACAGTATTGTTGTATAGGCACGAGTAATATTATGGATACCAATTTAGTATATATTTGTACATACATGCATATAAGATGTAGAGTTCAAAAATATAATTATTGATATTGTGTTTCTTTAAAAATTAAGTATATAATTTACAATAATTCTTTAAAGAAAGTTATTCTTAAACTTATAAATATACTGAAATTAAAATTATTTTAATAATTAAAAACAATGATATTTTTAATGAAATGTGTTTTCACTGAAGTAAATAAGAAAATAAGATCAGATGCACTAAGATTCTTTCCAAGCATACTTAAAAATGTGATTCATCTTGTAACATGGTTTCTACTTCATTGTGTGATAACAAAATTTGTTCTCCAGTTTAATGAGCCTGGAAAATGCTTCGTAATTTGCCAGCTAACTTGTTTTTGCTGTTTGGTGATTGACTACAAACCAACGTACACTAATAGAGATTTATACAAAAATTAACGTCCTTGCATTAGCACGAGGCATGTCTGTAGCCCATGAACTTCTTTCCTAAATCAGAGGCCATTGTGGCTTGCGTACAAGCACAATGTTAACATGCATAAAATCCACACCAACTTTATTGCAGAAGTCGCTGAACACCATCTTACGTAGAAAACTTGTGATGTACAACGTTGGATTTCCTCTCAGAGATTGTGCTTGTGTTGCCAGAAAATCACACCTACCAAAAAGCTTTCTTTCAATTTTGGCTACAGGATAACATTCAATCTCGAAATTGATACCGTGTGACGATACCCACAGATGAGGATACTTGCAAAAACAAACTGCTACAGATCACAAGAGTCACATGGCAAGTTCACTTCGTTTCTATCATGCCTTCATTCCTATCCATTAAGTAAGAAGAAGTTGTGTGTCCAACTCCTCGAGGTTATTATCTCAGAATTGCAAAAATACTTCATGTGGAGAAGAAACAGTATGTTATACTAATGCATATTCCAATTGGACTACTTGCTGCGATGCACAGTCCACATGCTTGCCTGGATCTGTGAGGCCGAAGTAATCATGGAGGAAGCGAACGTAGTGCCCGATGCGGTCGTGCATTTGGAGGTCGTCGCCATGGCCACACTCGCTTTCACTAGCCCTTATGTTGATGGTCATTCCAAACCCAGGCAAGCGTTTAGCCAGAGTGTCGTTTTTGGTTGGCACCCACTTACCAACCATAACTTGATGAGGAGAGGGCCTTGTCTTCCCGGGAGTCATCCAGTACCAGATCGCTGCCTGCCATGCGACCGTTTCGTTGTACGACAAAATCTCGGGATGATTTAATAAGTCCTGCTTCAACGCCGCTCCCGTCGCGCCATAATTGAAGTTCCTGAACAGTTAAATTGAAATTTAGAAATGAAAAACACGGCCACTGAATGAAAAAAGTTGCCTGATACGGTATTGTATTTGTATTCCTGCGTTTAGTGTGCGCATTGGCAGTGAAGATTTCATGATAGGCTAACCAATCGACCCACCAGTAGAGAGGAAAAGCTCCACGACCGTGGTAAGAAGCGCCAGGAGCACACGGGTAGAGGAGTTCGTCTCCCTTGCAGTATTCATAGGTAGGTGAGAGCTCTCGGTTGTAGCAAAGCCCCCATGCGTATGGGGAATCTTTCGCTCCAGGCCACCCACCTGCGGATTGTCACATGGTCTCTCACTTCAGAAGACTGGTGTTGATAACTCATTTCTGAGATGATTGTGAGAGCTCTGGCATCTGGCGGCGAGGAATTGACAAGATATCTCACACACCATAATGTGTGCGAAGCGAGCATTACGTCTTTCCATGCCATTGTGAATTATTGTTCTATTGTTCTAGTGTTCTATTCCAGATACACTAGGATATAATAGATACAATAGAACACTCACGGAATCGGGAATACGTGGTAGAAGGGTTGATATGGCAAGAAGCCGCGAGTTCCCTATCCGCGACACCCACCTCCCCATTTTTGTGTGTGTTGGTTGGCAAACGTCGCTAAGTCGCTAATGATGTTGTGAGAATGCAAGAACTGTGCGAAATTGGAATTATCGAGATCTTTAATAGAAGAAATCACTACAAGAACAATCGCTGGATTAAATACTCACATGAGGTTTCATGAGCTACGTGAGCGAAGAACGCAGCAAGCTCCTTCTTCTGCGTGTCATCCCCACCTACTGAACCGAAGCCGGCAGACTGGAACATCTTGGCGGCGGTCATGAACCCGCCGTAACTCCAAAAGCCTTGCGCATGCGCCATCCGACCGTTCCGGTGCATGAACATCCCCTCGAACATTCCCTCCGTGAACAAATCGCTTATGGTTTTATTGCACCCTTGGTCCTTGTAAGCTTTACTGCACACGAGCCCTTCCACTCCTAACATTCCATGGTCCCCTGTCATGCTCAACCCCAGCACCAACGCTACCACTACCACAATTGTCCCCGCCATCGCTGAGATTCACTGCAATGCCTCTGAAAATTCGCAATGTACTCACGAAGAAGCGTCAGACTTCTCTCTTATCTGAACTCTGTACATCAATAGATACAAAGTACAACGCTACTACCAACGTGATTCGTTCAGTTCGGCAACTCTAGTAACCCATCGTTCATGTAGGTGTGCTCGTCCCTACTCTTGTTCGAAGTCGAAACTGCAGTCCTCTCATGAACACGTTGATGTAGAGAACAGAACGCAGGTGGCGATGCTTTTCATTCCAAAAGCATGCATGCATGCAGCGCTAATCTCCCCCTGTACTCATTCCCTCATTCCCTACGAACAGGCAGTCATGTCAACCTTTTAGATCAGTAACCGGTCTGCAAATTGAATGAGAGGCGACGACGACATGATCATGAAAAAACAGAGTCCTTGAGTAGAAAGTCTCAGTCCCCAATTATGAGAAGCTTCAGCATCGTAATCACTGCAGCAGTGATTTAAACCAAACATGAGAGTAAAGCGATCGGCAAGGCTCTGAACTTTTAAAATCCACTCAGAAACTTCTCCTAGAATCGACCCTGCACAGATATCCAAAGGGCATGGAATCCTCGTTGCACTTGAAGCAGCCGAAATTGAGCACATCATATCCACAAACGTCTCATAAGACCATCGCATAGGATCAAGAAAACGTGGTGGAAACCCTAGAATCCTGAGTTAGGCCGAAGGGTTAAAAGAACTTCAGTAAGACCGGGCTTCGATGATTCCATACTCTCACAAAAGATCAAAACGGTATGCAATCCTGCAATCTGCTGCCAAACAGTCCCCCCAAGCAACCAATCGTCCGTCTTTTGCTTCTTTGTTTCTGGGAGATCACAAGTGACGAGTGCTTTGGCCCAGTGAAAAATAGTCGACCGTTCTTGAAGGCAATGTAGCATTAAGAAAATACTTGGCCAGCTCTCATTTACGCTTCAAGTGGTTTGCGAATCTCTCATTTCAGCGGTATTCCGGCGACGGAGGAGGTGAGGACTGAAGAAATGAGTGAAGCTGAGGAGTTTGATTAGTAGAATTCGAAGTGGAGGGTTTGTGATTTGCACTTGACATACGCGCCGAATGCGCACGCCTTTGCACTGCTTTGCGGTCACGACTTCAAAATGGGTGTAATTCCGATAGTGGTTAGATTGATGTCGCAACAGCAATTTTTCGTGTGAAATGTTGCCAAGCAAACCGCAGTAATCTCCAACATCAATAGTATTGGAGCTATCTAACACAATAAATGTCATCCACAGGACTGATGAATGTCAACAGGATTCCTCAGTGTGAAGAGGGTCCATTGGGGATGCAGGCGCAATGGCGAAATACGTCCTTCAAGGGCGCCGGCGTGATACGTCATGAACGGTAATCGCTGCTGGGCACCGGTGATCATGCAATCGAAGAGTTCCCTAGAATGATATGGAACCCGGTTCGATTCTCTGTCGGAGTGAGAACCAGGTGCCATACCAGGTGGAATAGGTCAGATGGTTAGACGTTTCAGCTCAGTTGGTTAGAGGAGGGCAGAGCGTGTGAGGGCGAGCGAGAGCAGTGAAGGAGCGGAGCGGCGGAGGAATTAGTACGGGGGGAACGACCCCTCGATTATACCTAGCACTGGATCACGAAATGTAGTACAGCAAACCCTCCGTCCCATCAAATCAGTGTACGCAGTCGGCTATTACTATCAGTTCGTGAGATGGGTAGTCGGCTAATCTCCAAGGTCACTTACCCACTAAAACATGGTTAGGAAGAAATTAATACGGCACTAATACGGAAGACCTAATGGCGATAACCCAGAGAACTACCCCACCTCGAAGGACCAGTGTCCGAAGAACCAGCCAAGGCCACACCCGAGTAGTAACCCCAATCACATCAGAGCCCCCGTACGGCACCACAGAAAGCAACACTGACTAGATGCCTGCGCAACCCAGCCACCCACCGACCAACGTTGCCACATAGTCAAAGTGCGACTTAGACACGCTACGGATTACCTTTTCTCCAGAGGAGCGTCAACTCATTGAGACAATCTGCAACAAAACGATGCAACACACAGTCATCGCCTACATCGCAGGCACCAGCCCAAGACAACCAGCCCTAGCACATTGGGCTGCCTCAACGCTTCACCACATCCTGAAGACCTGCACCCTAGTCAACAACGGCTTCTTCAAAGCCACCTTTTCCAACACGGAGGGCGTTCAATACACCCTCAACATCCCGGTCACTCATGAAGGTAAGGAAGTATCCTTCATCCCCTGGACCCTGTTATTTTCAGCAAATAATAGGGAAACATACAAATTCTCTGCAGTCTTGATTTAATTTTTAGGACTGAGTCTTTACATGCAACAAGAGCCCTGCCTCCGGATCTTAGCCTCTAGACTGGGAGAAGGGAAACATACAAATTCTCTGCAGTCTTGATTTAATTTTTAGGACTGAGTCTTTACATGCAACAAGAACCCTGCCTCCGGATCTTAGCCTCTAGACTGGGAGAGGTACTACATGCAACAATAGCCTTGCCTCCGGATCATAGCCTCTAGAGTGAGAGAGGTACTACATGCAATTAGAGCCCTACCTCTGGATCATAGCCTCTCGACTGGGAGAGGTACTGTTCATAGAAGAATTCTCCTCCTATATATACAAAATAGCATGATTAAGAGTCAAAAACAAAGTCCCAAACGTAAACAAGCTTTTGTCCAAAATTAATTTATTAAGTATCATGGACATATACATTTATTCCAATAGTTATTTATATAATTAGGGAGGAGTATGTAAATATAGATTAATTTCTTAAAATCTTCTACGAAACCTTTTTAAAAGCTTTTTAGATGTATTTATAGAATAGAAACTTGGCCAACAAATTAATCATATATTGATAGCTTGTGGAACAAGTTAATTCACTATAGTAGCTTGTGGAACAAGTTAACTCCATATAGTAGCTTGTGTAACAAGTTAATTATGTGCCATATACATAGATAACTTGCCTTGCAAGTTAATATATGAAGCTAACAAAGTCAACACGTTTTAGAGTCCTAAGGACATTGCCACATAGCTCTTAATTAAGAGTATATATGGAGGCAAGAGTGAAGCATTCTTCACTCTTGTCAATGCATTCCTAGTCCTTAGTCTTATTCCAAGACTTTCTAGTCTTCTTATCTTTGGCAATAGCCATTCTAATTCAATAATATATCATTTTTGAGTGACTTTCTAGTTCTTTTCAGTGACACAAGAGTGCATTGAGGATTTTCTTTCTTTGAGATTCATGTCCTTGACAATTTGACAAGAGTTCTAACATACTATTTCTATCTTATTTTAGAAGTGAGTGGATTATTCTACTTCTATTGTTGTATTTTGAAGGTTGTAGACTATCTACCTTTAAATAAAAAATCTTCTTTTTTAACACTGATTTTTTCTTTAAAGAAAATGAATTACTCTTTTTTGTGGAAATTTTTATTAGAGGTTATGGATTATCCTCCTCTAATTTAATTTTTTGGATTTGTTTGAGTTGTTTATGGAAGGAAAGATTATGGATGCTATTTATAGTAAAAGTGAGAATAGATTTGTAACTATTGCAAATCTTCAAGAATTTGTCAATATTTTTAGGGTAGAAATTTCACCCATTACCAATCTCAATGATGGGAGCACTACTTCTATATATATGGAAGAAGTCCAGAGTCTACATTATCATATTGTAATTGCTTATAGTATGTAAAAATTAGTTAGGACATATAACATGTTCAGAAGTCTTGGTGTATGTTAGAATGGTTAATAGATTAATTTAAAGAGAGTGGATATAAAAAAGTTTATTTTGAGTTTTATCTATTTTGATTATAGCATTTAAAAAAAAATTTGGACCTAAATATTTAATATGAAGCCTTGAGAGGAGATTAGAGCCTAAAGAAGAAAATCTTAACTACTAGAGGCTTATTGGGACGGATGAAAGCAAGACATAGTTGGATGAAGGCAAAGAATAGGGATCTTCATTTCTATTGGTCAAAGGCCATGTCCAATAGGCTTCAAGGAGACTGCTCAAGGCCTTATTAAGAATTAAGGTTTATCTTTTGAAGTCATTTGAGCTTTGGAGGCTAAGATCAGCAAGTTTAGGATTTTGGGTACAGATTGGATGTAAATTTTGTGTGATTTGGAGTTTTAATGAAGGAATAATTGGTGCTCAAAGATAAGGTGTCAATTTCATACCTATTGTCACTCTTTGGGGCATAACATACATTTACAAAGAGCAACAACAAATCAAAGACCATAGTTGGAGAGAATGCTTTTTTAAATACATTTTTTATATATTTTTTGATGAATTTGGATTTTGGATGAAGAAGTTATAGAAGGTTGTAGTCAGCACATCCAAATCAAAGGCAATTAGTAAGTGACTTTGTTCATAGTAATGGTTGGAGCCATATCTTGAGTTTTTGGACAAATTTTGGACTCAAACCTCTTGGAAAAGATAGATTATTGTATGAAGAAGCTATATATATAAATTTTGTGGCATTTGAATGCTTAGTTTATGAGATATGAAAAAAATTACATACAAGTGTATAAAAACTAGGATTTGAAGCTATTATTAGGATTTTCGTGATATCTTAAGATCCACAATAAATTTCAGTTGCAATTTGTTGTAATAGTTGTTAGAAGTACATAAGTACTTCATATAAAATTTGAGTTTATTTAGACAGTCCAATTAAAAGATATAAGTTTTTGAAGTTTGGGAATAATACCCCATAAGGATGTACAAGGATTTAGAATTTTTTTAATCATATTTTGGATGTTTTGGAAACTTAAGACTTATATATTTGGTGTAGTTGCTCCTAAAAGTGTGTTTATATATATATATATATATATATATATATTTGGTCTTTCTTATATCAAGACTTGATTGAGTAATTAGTGGCTACGAAGAGCCCAATGCTTTCTTGAGGCAAATTTTCTCTACCTTGACAACATCAAGAAGTTTTACAATTAAGGAAAACAAGTTGATTAAACTGACAACTAAATTCAGGGGGTCTTGCATCTATAAGCTCAAGAGAGGCAAGAATTAGTATGCCCGAAAAGTTTGATGGAATAAGATCAAAATTTTGAGGGTTTTTATAATAAGTTTAATTCTACTTAAGATTATGCTCTTTCCAATACGCGGATGGATTTACTTAAGTTGACTTCATAGCTACACTTCTATCTCAAAGTGCTCTTTCTTCGTTTATACCTTTGATAGAAAATGATTCACGACTTCTTTATGATTTAGATTCATTCTTAGAAGTGTTTATGGCTACATTCAGAAAAAGTAATTGAGAAGGAGTAGCAAAGACCAAAATTTTATTTTTATGACAAAAATCATGATCACAGACCACATATGTTGCTAAATTCTAAAACCTTGCTTGCAATGTAGACTGCAATGACAAAGCACTTATCAATTTATTTCAATAAGGATTAAAGGATAGCATCAAAGATTTGTTATTAACAATTTCAAAAGTAGAATCTTTGAAATAATTTATTACTCAAGCCATTACATGCGACAATTAATTATTCAAAAGGCATCAAGAACAAAGAATTGGTTAGAAAGGAATAAGTCGAGTAATGGTTGTAGTTCCCACGTTTTTTGAAACATATTCATTAAGGCCATAACCTGTAATAGATATATACATTTAAGTGAGCAATTACCTATATAAATAGATAGAAGTAAATAAAAGTAGTTAAAAGTAAGTTAAATCTATAATATCTTCTATAAAAGCTTCTTAAAAGCTTTAAAGATGCTAATTTGACTTTATAGGTGTCTATAATTGATATTTTAGGTTAAAAAAGTAGTCAACAAGTTGGCCATGTACCACACATATTGTTAGCTTGAAGACCAAGATAACTATTTGGTCCACACATAGAAAAACTTCTTTTGTAAGTCAAAGCATGAATCCTAGAAAGTCAATACATATTGGAGGTCCTTTAGAACATCACCATGTAGCCTCTAGTTATATAGTATATATAGAGATAAGAGTGAAGCCCTCTTCACTCTTGTCAATTCTTTTCTTGCTTCTAGTCTAGTTTCAAGAGTCTTAAGTTTTTTTGTCTTTTGACAATAAGCC